TCTGCAGAAGCCAATGCTGGAATCTGAGTCTCTTTCAGTCGAGATGCGAGCGTTAAAGTAATTTAAAGCATTTAATAAGTAAAGTAGCTGAGTTGATGCTATACCTCACTGCCCATAGAAGCAATACAATAACTCAAAAGATGGAGAACATTGTAAAAAAAAAAGAAAAAAAGTGAATTATTCTGTGCAAACTTATAATTTGTATTTTTCTATTTTCTAATGATATAAAAACACACAATCTGGTTGAGATAGAGGAGGACTGAGTTAATCAAGTTTAAATTATTCATACGTCTGGCAGATTAGATTTGAAATTACTGAATCTCAACTGAGAAGTTTGTTTCTGACAGGAAATGAGACGGGTATCTCTGAAAAGTTATAAAATGTAAAATATGTTTTTATTGATATTTTAAAAAGTTGGCAACATCCTTCTCAATCTTTACTGGCGTTATAGCAATGAAGCTGTTATTATAAGCGTTAGCTGACTTTGCGCATATGTCCGCTGGTATGTTGACAGTTTATTTTTGGTCATGACCTTTGAAGACGGAAGGCCTCCTTGCCATCACCCTAATCTTTAACTCTCTCCACAGAGTCACTATTAGGTTCAGTCTGGACTCTCACTGTGCTGCTCTAAAATGTTAATGTTGCTTCCAGTCAGAAAAAAGACATGCTAACCAAATAAAAGATTACTTTAAGCCCTAATTTTCCAAAGGCTAAGATAACCGCATGTGACGTTTTGCAGGTGTAACTGTTTGCCAATGTGAACTCGGACGCTACTTACCATCATAGGTAACATAAGGAATCTGGAAACCTCTGGCGCTGTTGGCCTCATTAGACTTGAAGTTTATCCACAGACGTCTGGAGCGAGCTGTGAAGGCGATGGGCCGCTCGTACGTCTGACAGGTCTCGTAGGTGGTGATTGATGTCGCTGACCCTTGCACAAGCACAGATAATCCTTCCTCATATTATTTATGACCTCTATCAACTCTAATGAATCCAGAGAGAGAGAGAGAGAGAAAACTCACAGTTCTTCCTCATGACCAGAACATCGCCGCACTCATCCTCCGAGGGCAGGAAGATCTCCGGCACCACGATCAGGATCTTGCGCTTGCTTGGTGGGTTGATATTCCAAATACACTCCACGTTAGCAGGGTAGTTACCAGGATAGTTAGGTGACTCAATGTAACCCATTAGCTCGCCCATCTCACCACCACATTGCCTGTCTAGACAGACAAAAGCAGGCCAGGTTAGACTGTGGCTGTTGGGGAAAAAAAAAAAAAAGATTTTAGTTCTTATTGTTCCAACTCACTTTTGCACTGCGAGACGCTTGTGGCCCCATCAAAGTCAGTGGTGGTGTTTCCTGGACAGGTGATGCAGTAATTCTGCCTGAACTCTGTCTGATAGGTCCCCACTGGGCAGCGAATGCAGCGGTGGACGGTGGTGTTGTAGTAATGACCTGGAGAACACTGGACTGCAGGGTGGAGTTTAAAAAAAACATTAGTTTAATTAACTTCTTTTATGCACAGAAATGGTTTCTATGTTGCTACATTACCGTTCGAAAATTGAGGTGCAACGTAAATTTTTGTGCTGTCAATCGATTAAAAAATGCATCAGATTAATCACTAGCACTGTGATTAATTACGATTTATCACTGTGTGTAATTTTCTAAGCTTGAAGTGTAAATATGGAAGTTGTTTAAGAAAGAGTTATAACGTCTCAAACAAAACATGTCTGAAGATTCTCAGGTTTCCAGGTTTGCGTCTTTTAAATCGTCATTTTGTTTCAAACGTTAATTAAAAAAAATGTTAGCTGTAAACTGGTTGTGCTTTGGTGGGAGAATAATTCAGCATTTTGATATGTACATGCCACCTTTGTTTTATCCAAGCTTCAATGAACGAGGTGTTTTTTTAAGGTGAAGTTTGCCGCTGAGCACATCCAGTCTCGCTCTCCTCACTCATCTTTTTACTAGTGTTTACGATTTTGCATCGTTGACTGCTGTGACACAGTCTGTGGGAGAAAGGCTTTTAGATCACCGTAGGTAATGTAATTAATCTACATTTTGTCACAGTGAGGCTTTAAGCTTTTTACATTTATCACATGAATTAATGTGTTAATGTGGACAGCCCTAGTAAATATTAAACATTTTTTAAGTTGTTTTACAAATAGAAATATGAAATTGTGCCATTAATTTGTATTCAGCCCTCTTAATCTTTTTTTTTTTTTTTTAATTAGCTTGAAATTATAGCACCAAGTCCTTTGGGGTATGTCTCTACCAGCTTAAAAAAAAAAAGGTTGCTCTTTTCTTTAATAGCTCAACCTCAGTCTGATTGTCTGTGAACATGAACTTTTAGGTGTGTGACAGATTCTATGTTTGATTTTTCACACATGAAAATGATCTAAACCATTCCATTGTAGGCTGTAGAAAAGCATGGGATCCTCACAGCATGATGCAGCCAACACCGTGTTTCACTATAAGGAGGAGGCATCTGTAGAGACGTCATCCACACGTCACCTTTCAGACTTAGGCCATAAATCTTACAGCGTCTTCTCCAACATTTGTTTCATGTACAGACAGCTACATGAATGCATGCTATATTTTTAACAATTTCAACTGTTGAAATTGTGTGTATTATTTTACTTTCGCTTCACCACATTGAACTACTTTGTTTCATGAAATCTCCAGAAAAATGTCATACTATCAGTTTGCCTCTGCACACTGAACACTTAATGTAACACTTTCACAAGTATGCATACTTCTGCAAACTATTGTAGCACTAGTTTACGAAGCTCGTCTCAGGGTAAAATGGGTCAAACTTGTGATTCGGTGAAATCAAATATTTTTCAAAACAAATCTGACCTTTGACTTCGCAGTCATGAAAGGAGCTGGCACCTTCCCGCTTCGTGCTCAGGCCTCCACCGCAGGGGAAACAAAGTGTCCTTCCCAGATCTGGCTGGTAGGTGCCCTGAGGACACGGCTGGCAGGGTTTGAAGCCATCGCTGGAGAAGTAACCAGTCGGGCACTGGCCTGCGTTTGATTTAAGGATCACAGAACACGGCTATCAGGACATTTCTATGAGCTGCATGAGATGAGATGGATGCTCGGTTTAATTCACCTGCACAAGAGGAGATGTTTCGTGCTCCCACAGCTCCATGTCCATCGCTACCAGGGCAGAGGTCACAGGCCAGCTGGCCCTCTTTCTCCTGGAAAGTCCCGGGTGGACACTGGACACAGCGCTCCTGTCCCCCGTGGTAGTAGGACCCTGGCAGGCACATAACTGGGGAAAAAAAAAAGTCGTCAAAAAGTAGCACAGGTAGAATTAACTGAGCTCACTTGTCCAGTCTTACTTACCACATCTGCCACTGACCCGCTCCCAGCCTGGGGCACAGTGGTCCTGAATGGGTGCAGCCTGAGGAAGCTTTTGAGCCACTTCATACTCCAAACCAGCAACCCGGATCAGAAAGCGCTCTTGGTTAATGGACTTCTTCAGAGCCTTGATGTACGTTTTCACCTGCTTCTCCATGCGCTGCCGCAAACAGCTGAGGTTGCAGCTTCCTGGTCAGTAAAAAAAACTTCGTTTTATAAACGTTTTGTGACTCGGGGACGACAGGATCAACATAGATGACTTACCTGTCGTGTCTCCAGGTTTGACTTCGGCTTCCAGCTCCAAAGTGATGCGCGTTACTCCTTTGTTAGAGGGATTGCGAGCGTGTCGCCCTTTAGCTTTCTTGGAGGAGTCACATGTAAGGTTAACAAATGTTACCTGGCAGTTGCTGCAAGGCTGCCCCCCTCCTGCAGAGACAACGTTATTGAAAACCACGAAGAAGCACCACACACCATTTAAGTTTAAGCTCAATCAGACAATTCTGACACTTCTTATAACTTTATCACAAAAGCACCGGAGGCAGTGCATCTTCAATCTGGAATCTAATACATTTCATTTTTCTCTAAAACAATCTAGGTCTTCCATCGTTTATAAATGGTATTCACTGTGAAGGAGAGATGATATTGGCTGCTGCAGTTTGTGTTCTGCCTTGGTCAGGTGACCTGCTTTGCAGATTCCTCTCAGCAACACTTAAACACTGGTCATCAACTTAACTGAGGCAACCCCATATTGGAGCAGAACTCTAAGGACTAGTCCATACAGAGACAGATATCCTGGAAAACTAAAACCATTTTATGCACTTTAAAAACTCTGACCAAAGAGGGGATTTGAGAAACCTCTGATTTTGTGTTTGATTGTGTTCATGGGAAAACTTAGATTTAGGGTCCGACAAATAATGTGCCGATTAATCCACATACCAGCTTTGACATGATTCCAAATTGACATTTAAAAGTAGTTCTGGTGCGTGTGGATGAACTCTCTTCTTAAACCTGTTTCTGTGTGTACATTTTATTATTTTTTAAATTAAATGGTTGAGACATTCATTTTCAAAAAGAACCAATTAGATGCGTACAAACCGAGAGGCTCTGCAGAAACTCATTTTGGAACAAAAAACTAGTATAATGGTGAACATAATCACAAGACAAACTAACGATGTGTTATTTTACTGCACTTCAATTTTAATTTTAAACCATATATGATTTAAAATGCTACAGATATTAACTTTATTTTAGCATCCAATCGGGACTCTTGTGTCACTCGGTTTGGAAAAGCCATCAGAACGGAACAACAGACATTAAGGGAGACTGACCTGGTCCCAGTGTCCGTCCCCTGTCCTCGGTCTTGCCCGTCAGCTTTGGATGCAGGTGACATTTGGCATTTTTAATCTTGAAAGAAGCCTTCTGTTTCACTGGAGGCGCCAAAGTCTCTACAGACAAACACAGCCTGGTGGGTGGGAGGACACTGAAGCATCATGCTGCTACCAGCAATCAGACAGAAACCAGAGCTGCTGTAGTTCATGAGATGGCTTTGATTTCAAATAAGAACCGACAGATAACAAACCTACGCAGCCTTGAATGATGCTGGAATTGATCCTTGCAGGGGGCTTGCCCGTGAGAATCGGGATGCCGCAGCTGACTGAGTAGCTGTTATTTGTCCCTGGAAAGAGAGTGTGCCAGAGCAAGAACTGTTGATCAAATGTCTCCAGTTTGCCGTTTTGTGTTTGTGCCCTGACTCGGTGGGATATATACCTGCCAGATAGTAGGCCTTGGAAGCACAGGTAAGAGAACAGCTCTCCTTTTTGCCCGTCCTGCTGCAGGTCAGGGTGGCCTTCGGTGCCACAAGTCCAGGAGGACATTTCACCAGCTCTGCAAGAGAGAAAGCTAACAGGTAAACATCCAAAACTGCTCAACAGCTGCTGCAGTTGCAGCTACAATTATCTGACACACACAACATATCAGACTATAAGCAAGATGCAAAATTGTTGAGGCGTTTGCAATAAACAAATTACACAAAAAACATTTAATTAGTCAAAAGAACTCATAATACAAGGATTGCATTCAAATTTAACACCAGATCATGTAGTGAATATTTGCAATTTCAGAGTCATTCAGTGCCCAGAAGTGAATACTTCATAAGAACAGGCACTCATAAATCACTCCACACTCAGAGACGGAGATAGAGCAAATCACAGGCTTCATTAGTTACATCAGACGTCCTTGAGATAAAACACTTCAAACACCTGGACTGTTGAACATTTCATTGCATGTTAGAAAGATGCAAAGTCAAGAGAACTGTGCAGAAAAAAAATAATCCAGAAGAGAGATTATTGTCTTTCACAAACACAAACAAGGAATCCAAAGGCCCTGGATTTTTCTACAGATTCAGCTGGAAGCACAGTTCACAAGTTTCACTGTCATATGAGCAGTGGGTGCGCCACCTGGTGGCAGAAAGAGGAAGCCATCAGTGGCACCAGATTCCGGAAAAAGCAGGTGGTCAAAAAACCTTTCAATGACCTACAGAAAGACTTGGGAGTAGCATGCACTGAAGTTTCAGCTCGCATTAGCCTAAAGGCTGCTGTTATGTGTAGCAATAAGTCAAAACTCAGTGGAAGGAAGCAAATGCTGAAAACAACACTCTGCCTACAGCAAAGCATGGTGGTGGCTCAGTGATGCTCTGAGGCTGCTTCATCTAAGACCGGAAACCTGAAGTATGTGGAAGAAAAAAGCAAATGTTTGGTTGCATGGGACATCCTAGAAAATAGAGTGGCCATCATAGCTTCCTGACTTAAACTCTTTCAAAAATGTAAGATGCAGATGGTATTTGAAAAAGCTGGTAAACTAAGGAATATAATTCAATTTCAGATATTGAATCCTGAGTTATGGAACAATATATTTTAGGAATATATAATCACATTTAAAGCAGGTGTCAACAGCAAAAGGTTTCTCTGCTAAGTCCTAAAAATGCTTGATATGAAGGAGTTGAGCAACTTAGAAATAAAAGTGTCTCTCTGCGTTCAAGTTGGAGAAACCACTCACAATATCAGATGTGTCAAACTTTTTAAACTAGTAGCTTTGGTATTTTGTTGGGGTTGAACATTTTTAGGTAAAACAGTAGGCACACACACACACACACACACACACACACACACACACACACACACACACACACACACACTCCTAAAGAAGCCACTAGGGGGCACTGTTGTCACATACCAATGCAATCCTTCTTGTTCCAGTGAAGCTTGTATCCAGACGGACAGGTACACTCATAGCTCCCCAGAGTGTTGATGCAGCCGTATTTACAGCCTCCACGATTGATGCTGCACTCATCAATATCTGCGAAAAGACGCAGTGACAGAAACGCTTTATGAACAAGCATGACAGATTTGGCCTAAAAGGCACAACTGATTCTTAAAAGAGCAGAGTTAAAGAAAGAAAGAAAAAAAAATAATGATAAGGGAAGTATTAGGAAATAATGTCACCAGAGCAGCAGAAGTAAGGCTTTCTCCAGTTGTAAGGAGCTCTTCTATGATTGCTTCAGTTCTCCTTGTTGGTTTTGGATGCATGGCGGATTAATATGTTTGCGTGTAAACAGAAGTGAATTCTTGTTTTGATGTCACCCACATTCAATTTCATGGTCAGAAGTTTTCGGGGCTCTTTGGGGAGGAAGACGTGCGGTAAGCAGTAAATTATAATCACCTTTTCAAACACATGCTGAGCTAAAACCGCAAAAAGCACCCGGGATCCAGATGGAGTCTGGCTGCATTCGGGGGCCAGACAGAGAATCGGCTCGCAGGGCTAAGCCGAGCTCTTTAAGCAGGACAAGCGGCGCGCACATAAGGAAACAGACGTAGATAATAGCCGTGATTGATGATCTGGCTTGCTGATATGAAAAGCTCTTCCTTGTCTCATTTAATTATTTACCGTGAAAAGATAAAAACAGCCGGCGTTGCTGCTTCACTCTCTGAGGGAGATGATGACTTCATCAACAGGCAGAGCTGCTTGAAGACGTAGTGAGGGATGTGCTGTTCATCCTTCGCATCAAAGCACTCAATTTAAAGGACAAAGACCTTTAATGGATATCTGATGGAACAGGAGCTCATCCGCCAGACTTCTTTTATCCTCAAACGCTGCGTTCTAACGTTTCTCCGGATCTCTGTGCATGTTTGTCGGTGCTGAGACAAGCCAAGGGAGGAAAAAACCCCCGAATTAAAAAGAAAGATAAAATGACATTCAGACACCCAAGCGTAAGGCATAGGAGTTTCTGGATGAGTAGGTGAGTTCATCAGAATGTCATCGAATTTAAATTTCAAAAGGTTCTCCCTGTGTGTTTTCGTTAAAAACCTCAAGAACTTAAAAAAAAAGAAGTGTTTTTTTAAAAACCAAACATCCTAATCAAAGCCGAAGCAAAATCACAAACTGTTACGTTGCAACCACATACAGCAATGTATCTTATTGGGATTTTATGCTTTAAAGTGTTGTATTCAGCTCCCTTTACCTAAATAAAATGAAGCTCCTAACTAGTAAACGGAGCCTACCTGTGTGTGATTTCATCTCAGTATAAATGCTGTTGTGCTGTAAAAGTTTGTTAAAGAACAATTACCATAAGAAAGACCAAGGAACACACTCGACAGCTCAGGAATAACAACATGGAGAGGCTTTAAGCAGGATTACCAGTACTCAAATCATTTGTTGGTCTCACAGAGCACTGTTTAATCCGTCATTTAAAAACCGCTAAGCGTACAGAAAAACTGCAAACAAAACAAGTGACGGTTATCCACCTAAGCCGACAGGCAGGGGCATAGAGAGCGTTAATCAGAGAAGAAGCCACGAGGTTAATCGTAACTCTGAAAGGAGCTGGAGATATCAGGCGGGAATCTGTCCACAGGACAGCTATTAGTTGTGCTCTTGGTAAGTCCCTTACAAAGGGCTGGGGAGCAGAAAGCCTCCGTAAGAATCCCCATTAAAAGTTTACGACACAACAAACACGCGGAAGAAGCTGTTCAAATCAGATAAGAGCCAAGCTGAGCATTTTGGACGACATTCAGAGCTGGACGTGTGGCAGGAAACTAACGCCGCACATCAACTGTCCACTGGACGCTGCTGGTGGCAGCGTCATGCTGAGGGGATGCTTTTCTTCAGAAAGCAATGATTGAACAAGGCAATAATGGAAGAAAATCTATTGGATTACAGATCATATACAGCAATGGGAGGATTTAGATCAAGAGATTGGGATTTTTTTTTAAAAAATGTAAAAAGCCAAAGCCAAAATTCAGACTTAAATTCAGTTAGGAATGTGAGGCAAAGCTTAAAAATGTGCCCTCCCTCTTCATCCAATCTGTCTGAGCTTGAACTGCTGCGCAAAGGGAAACTTGCTGACAGAAGGCCACTGACCTAATTGGCTTCGTTAAAGGCGGCTATCGTCAAACACAGATTGCTCTCCTGCACAGCCGTATTCCAGCTCATGAATTACAAAGGAAATAACATAACCTCAGTTGTGTGGAAGAATGAGAAAAGTGTAACTGGGAGCACCATAAATCTCGGGGGTTATCTAACAGTTGTGACAGCAGTGCTGAAAAGCGAGGGGAAATCATTCATCAACTGCTCGCTCAACAATAGTATGGAGAGCCATTTACTTGAGACCATCTTTACTCCTCTCAGCAGCTCAGCGGGGCCTGATCGCCGTCCTTCAGGTGAGAAAAAGCCTCGCAAATCCAATTCAGGGGCATTTATTCCCGGAGCTGACAGCTAATACAGCTTCCCGTCTCTGGAACCTAATAAACCTGAAAACCTGGATGCAGCATTGTGAGAAAACTTTTTTCTCATCGCAAGGCAAACTCTTGAAAAACTAAACTTTAAACAACATGGCCTTTATGTTTTTGAAGTATTTTGGTCTTTTTTTTTTCTTTTTTTTTACCCGAATCCACAACTTTTGGGGTGATTTTAAATAAATTTAATAAATACAATGATATGTGTTCAGTGAAATAAAATAATTTTGAAAAAAATCACAAAGGAATGTATGTTTAACATACTTGGTGAATAGATTTGCCTCTCCTTGAGTTGTAGAGGACATCAGTGGAGCTAAAGTTTTATCAATGTGATGCATTACTGATGTCCGACTCGGCTCATTTCAGCGTCAGCTTTCTAAGACAATGAATTGTCCCGTGAAGGGTAATAGCCATGTGAGATAAAAGTACTGTTTCAATTCAATTCGTAGCTCCCTGGCAGGCGGTTTTCGACTCACAGACGTAGAGCTAGGTGCCATTTACTTTATGGATTTTCTGTCATCCAGGTTGCCTGTCAAGACTTTGGAAGTTACGTCATCAGACTCTGCAGTATGTGACAAGTTCTGCAACATGCAAAAAGGTTGCCAGGGATAAGACGTGTCAAAGTGTGTGAGTGAGGTTCTGTGTTTTTGTCTTTAAATGTACCATAACCTGGGAAGCAGATTGTATTTCAGATGAGGCGGTGAGATCTTTACATCAAACTCCTTGGAGCGCTGCCAACCCTTTGTAAGATTGACAAGGATATAACTCGGACATGAGGATAGCATGACCAGTTCTGCTTCAGAGTATCTGATAACCATGTCATGACTAAACTGTCACTGCTGCAAAAAAACAAAAAAACAAAGGTTCCTCCAAGAAGCCTTAACTACCCAGATTTCTGATGCCACAACAAAAAGAATCGAAACAATCGCTACAAATTTTCTGCAGAAGCAGAACAGTTAGGGAACACTCGCCCACCGTCTCGGGTAATCAGGATGCATTCTTAGTGGACCCCAGATAATCTCTGTAGACTCCCCAAAGGATCATCTATTCTCTCAACTGAGTGTTAATTTCAGACTGCAGTATTACTCTGGTGTAAAGAAGGTTTGCATGCGCTGACATTAAGGCGTGGGGCGACACTGTCAGGACAGAAGATGGTTTGGAAGACTTTCATTTGGTTGTAAACCAGTGCATTAAAAAGTATTAGGAAGGAAAGTTAAGGAGAATGTGTTGATTTCATACGATTGAGGTATTCATAAAACACAATTTAACTGCAAGCTATAAATGCAACTGTGACGACAGCGATGGAAAATGAGAGATACCGTCAAGATAGTTAAAATGCATCGACGGTGGATGGCAAGTGTTTGAATGTGTTTTGAATTTCAAAACGGTTGGGTAAAATTTGGTTCAGTTAGATTTTGAGTGGAGTGTAGTTATGTATAAAGCTTATAAAAATACTTAATATGTGAATCATTCTTTTTTTCTCTGTTAGACATGAAAGGATTAAAAAAAGGTTGTTTGGGATGAAGACAAAGGATGACAGACAGGAGATCTGCCCCTCCAGACAGACAGACAGACATGTTGGCTCACCTCCACAGTGGGCCAGGCCGTACAGGACGTAGCCTTTATTACAGAGACACTGGAAGCTGCCAGCGGAGTTGACACAGAAGTGGTCGCAGGCACGGTCGAAAGAGCATTCATCAATATCTGCAAAGACAAAAACACAAAGCAACGAAAAAAATGATTTAAAGGAGGTGAATCTGGTTCTTCTGCCGTCCCACCTTCACATCATATCTTCTGTTCTCCCTTTTCTACACTTTAGGCATGCTGTTGATGAATCAGTGTGTCAATCCAGCATCAAATTAAAATGAAAAGTGCTTTAATGTTGCATCATTTGTACCGTTGTAGACTACAATGCAGCTTTCAGTGGTTTCTGTTTTTCTGATTTCCCCTTTCCACAGCCAGAAATGCATCTTCCTGTCTGTCAGTAGGCTCTCATAAACCTGCATGCCATTAGGACTTCTGATGAAGTTCTTCTTTAATGTCAGTGTCAGTCTTTGCCAAGCTCCTTCAGCACACGCTGGGAGAAAATAGGGGTTTGCAACAACTTTCCGTGATGTCTAATTGGCTTGTTTATTAAAGTTTCCCTGGATTTTCCCAGGAATATCATGCTTTCATCTGCTATAAAGTGAACCTCCTCTAGGTTTTTAAATAGCCCCAGGTGTCATCAACAAGATGACAAAGGTACTACCCTGCAACTGCAGAAGTATTCATACCCGCTGAACTTTTCCACATTTTGTCAAGTCACAACCACAAACTACAGTGCATCTAACTAGCAGTTTATACATCAGACCAGCACAAACTCATAAATACGGGGTAATCACTAGACAGTTGAAAGCTGACAAAGACGTACTCTAAGCAGTAAGATATTAGAGAGTTTTTATCTCATTTAGTGGGTTAACAAGCAGTTTAGGTAAAAAAGAAATTACATAAAATTTAAATGATTTTAATGGACTTGCTGAACTCCAACACCACAGAGAGCCATTACTGATTGCTGATGCCGTCTGGAGTCCTGATGGCTCTTCTTGTTGGCACACACTGTGTGCAGCGCTGCAAAAAAGTGTTTGTTTTTGGCAAATTAAGGATAAACTTTACTCTAAATCCCAATGGAAAATAATCATCGTGACTGAGTTTATCCTTAAAAGGTTTCTTATTGCAACATTGACGCCACAAGTGAATCTGTAACTTATTATTACATAGTTTAGCATTAACCCAAAGTACAGAGCGTTGACGATTGCTACAACTCTTATTTACAAGGCTGCAAAAAACAAGTTTCCATTCACTCTAGCTTTCGGCTAGGTCTCATTGTTTTTTAAAAGGGGTTGATTAAAAGAAATAAATAAATTTTGCTTGAATTCCAAAGACATTTTCTCTGTCCAGACAACATGAGTTCTGACGTCCTTCTTCTTAAATCCCATCATATGTGGATCAGGACTTTAAAGAGATGTTGATGGGAGCTTCACATGAACGCTCCATCCTGACTTACAAACCAACAGACAAACACTAACCCAGAGTTTAGTGCTTTTATGCTACACTCCAGGTTTAGTGTAAAAACTAAACCCTAGGTTTAATTTTTATACCTCAACACTTCAAATGAAAGCAAATGTCTGCATCAGTGCAACAGAACCCATCCAAATTACAGCGAAATCACTGCATTCAGGATTAACATGTTAAACATATGGAGGATATTACACTGAGTGTTTGATCTTGCACTCATTATTTGCTTCTTTTTTAGCTTGAATAACTAAAATTCTTTTGTTAATGATAATGGATGGAGAAATGCTACTAGTACCGTAACTGCCTTTAGTGGTACAAAGACAACTATGCACCATACAGAGGAAAAAACGGTAATGTAAAGCTAATAAACACCATGAATGAATGTTTTCTAATGAGGCCTCATTAGAAAACATCTACCTTTGAGAATGCTTCTTTGGATTATAAAATCAGAAAATCTTTTGAATGCCTTCTTTGGAGGTTTT